GGGGCGGGGGGGGGGGGGGGGGGGGGGGGGGAGGGGGCTCAGCAGGGATGGGATGGAAAACAACAACCAAGTGCTGGAAGCAGCTCCTGCCTTTGAAACAGGTTTGGGGGCATCCAATGAACAGTGCTCCTTGGATGGGCAGTGAAGGAGCCAGCTCCCAGCTCACCCCAGGGTAGAAGGGTTCTTTTTGGTCTGTCACAGCTGAGCCTGACCTGTACCCCAGGAGGTGGCAGATTTTCAGCTGGGCCTGCTGGGCTTGACCACACCCAAGAGAGCAGGCCCAGCTCTTCCCCAGCAGCAGGCTTTGAGTGCTGAACCTAAATCACCCCAGTGAGTGGTGGAAAGGACAGTCTGTTTGCTATGCTGTGACTCTCAGATTGAGCAAGAGTAGGAAATGTTACCTGGGGCACCGTGTAGGGTGATGGATTCATGAACTCAGTCAGGTCCATCATACATTCGCGCTCATCCTGGGAGACATGAATAGACTGGATTGGGGGGAAGCGAGGATAGGCATCCCGGAAATCCTTCAGCTTCAGCCTCCGCTGAACCAGGCTCAGGTTGGCTCTTTCCACAAAGACCTGAAAAAGGCAGACTCCATTATGTAAGACCTAGGAAAGGAAGCTGTTTGTTCCCTTGACTCAGCTGGTGGAACCCTGCCCTGGAGATCAGCCACCTCCCAGCCCAACAGACCATGCTCTGCAAGCTAGGCCTCCCATCTCAAGTACCAACTGGAGCATCCAAGAGCCCAGAAACCTGGCCAGGGACAGCTGTTTCAGTTTGGGGTATACATGAGAGCAGCCACTCACACTGGGGGCTGGAGAACCTAACAGTGCAAACAAAGGTCCATTTCACCCGAGAACAGTACACAGGATCAGATCATTACCAGCTGTCCTAACTCTCGGCTCTTCTGACTGCAAGTGATTTGCAAACACAATGGTTCTACAGTGATACTCTTGACAGGGAGGCAGGCAGGGAAGACAGCGAAGGGGAAAGATCTGCCCCAGCTCAGCAGCAGCACGGGGCAGGGCCTAGTTCATTGGGCTCATGCAGTCATCTCCTGGGGAGTGGGGTCAGTACATCATACTCATATGCCAGGCTGATCTTTGGGCTGCAGCTCAGGAGGAGATACCCTTTGCCACCAGCTTGAACAGCAGACTCTAGGCAGCAGTGGAACTGGCTCTTTCACCACACGCAGGGGTGAGGTGGGAAACAGCAGCGGCCACTGCAAAGCCTACCTCTACTGTCAGCTGCAAGAACTGGCTGTGCCACAGCCATACACCCCATCCTCACTGGCCATCTTACTGTAGGTGGGGCACCCTGTTCAGCGCCTGCCAGAAGCTGGACAATCCAGCAGCAACCTCGCCAGAGGACGGGCTAAGAGTGGTAAAAGGCCACATGCCTTCCAAGTCCTACCTTGTGTTTCAGAAGAACGATCAGCTGTGAGCGCAGGATAAGGCCTCTCAGTCCAGCCACCTGTAACAGAGGGCTCTATGGGTGATGTGATGCCTGCCAGGTGGGCTGCCACAGAGCTTCCCTCCAGGGCAGAGCTCAGCCACAGCCAGCCAGACAATAGGGCCGTGCGAAATGGCACTGGCCTGTTTTGACTTCAGTTTCGAGGTATGGACGGAAGTGTTTTGTTTCAAATTTCATTTCAAGTTGAAACAGCTGTTCCATTTTGCTTCGTCAAAAGTGTGGCTGTTTCGCCTGACCATCAGGCTGGAAAAACTAACTCAGCCCAGCTGGGCTGACTTCCCAACCCCAGGCCGATCTTGTTCCCATCCCCCGTGCTAGATCGAGCTGAGGATGGGCTGACTTCCCATCCCCAGCCTGATCGTAGGGCTGGGGAGGGAAACTGAGCAATTGGGCTCAGTTCCTTTCCCCAGCCTGACCACAACGCTTGGGAGGGGAACTGAGCGCAGGTTCAGTTCCCCTCCCCTGTGCTGTGATCGGCTTCCCACAGCCCTGCAGCAGGAGATGGGGAGAGCCAGGGCTGCGCTCCTGGCTGCTGCTGGGAGCACAGCCCTAGTTCTCCTGCCTCCCACCACCTCGCTGCTGGCCGCTTTGAAACTCAAAATGTTTCGACACTTCCAAAACATTTCAGCTAGCCTCATTTTGTTTCGAGGCTATTTCGAAGCCCTTTGTTTCAATTCTATTTCGCTGTTTCGAGCTCAAAATGAGTTGAAACAGTGTCGAATCGAAACGGCTGGCAAAATTTTGCACAGCCCTACCAGACAGCCACTAGGGAGGCCCTCAGTGCTCCTTTGCTAGTGATGGCCAACAGTGCAGTGTCTGGTGAGGGCAAGCCTGAACCCCTTCATAGAAGTGCTGGATGGAGTGGTGGCAGAGGCTGGGGCTGGGTACTGAGGGATGGGGCAGCACAGTCACTGGAGGGGAAACTCCCAAGGCCACACCTGCACTATTTGTGTGGGTGATCCTAGCCTCTCAGTTGCACTGATGTGCTTAGGTCTGAACCCACCACATGAGAGGATGGCTCCACGTACAGAACACACAAGGGCACTTTAGCAAGGAGAAAGGCACTCTTGGTATCAAAGACATACCAGGCCAGGGCACCCTTGCATACTATGGGTATTGCAATCACATATGGCTGTCTCACTGCCTTACCCACTGTTCTTCTAGTGCCAGCATGAGCATGGAGGAGTGCTGTGCAATCACCATACCCACTCTGAGCCCAGCTAATAAAGCCCAGGGCAGCAATACCCTCCACCACAAATGGCAGCAGCACTGCTGGAGCTGCAGGGCACAGATGTCACCAGCTGGCATTGGGCCTAGGAGCACCACATCCACCAGATCTGCCCCTGCTCACAGCAGATAATCCCAGGGCTTGATGCCAGGCACATAGAGTGCCCAATGCAAGACAAGCTCTGCCACACCAGCATGCATATGTATGAGAATGTCTACTCCTAATTCACAGGGGGAAAAAGGAGACTCCCAGCAACCACCAGTCCAAGCTGACTAGAGCACACAGCCAGCAATCGATCTAAATGCTGGACCCAATTTAAGTGATTTAGGTTGCATTTCTGGAGTCCAGGACCCTGAATCTCCAGTCTGTGATGGCACATTACTGTCCACACCACCTGAGTAAGGCCTGATCTCTGGAATCAGTGTGACCCACCTGCATGGTGTCTGTTTCATTCTCTACCACAGGGAAGCCATTGTGGTTGGAAGATGCATCACTGAGGATGTCCACGATGGTTCCCACCTTCTCCTTCCTTCTAAGACAGGTAACAGGTGTGCTCATCACCTCCCTGCAGGGAAAGGCAAGGCCAGGTAAGACCAATGCCCTGAGGCTGGGGTCCAGTGGGCTGCAGCCAGGGTTCACCCTGGCAGATGCTTCCACAGACTTTCTATCTCATTTCCTTTGCTAAGAGGAGCTTGCAGGCTCTTTACACCCCTGGGCATGTCTCTCAGGACTGCTGCCAGAGAGCCAGTCTGAAAGACCATTCATAGAGCCATTAACCAGGAGCAGAAAAAAACACTGATTCAGGATGTTACCTAGTGTCACTGACACACAAGAGGTCTCTCAAGGGGGTCTGTGCAGCACCAGTTACCACTGGTGATAGACCCTGCTATTAGCACAGCAAGTTCAGATCCCTACCATGCTGCCAGAGCACAGTTTTATGCTAACCATGAAGTTAAGAGCACAAGAAGGCTGCTTTGCTCTGTCAGACAGCAGGAGGCACCCTTCCCCTACAGTTCTGAGCACCAGGCAGTGCTCATAGCATCAGTCTTACAGTTGTCATGTTTTATAGAGAGCGGGGCTCTCTTTCCTCAGTGGCTTTGGGAAATCCTTCACACAGGAACCTCCTAAGTCACTGTACCTGTGAGATGGGCCAGGGACCAGGCAGGCAGCCCTGTAGCCTGTGTGCTACCCACCAGAGAGGCACTTGCCCCTGCTGCTGATAGTCTGTGTCCCGTCCTCCCTGGAGAGGGAGAGGCAGGAGGGCAGTGCTCTTCTTACAGCCAATCCAGCCCCCTGCACAGGTCACCTGTGACCTAGTCATATGAGCACCCAGCATTGCCTGAAGCCCAGACATCCATCAGGCCATTCCAGATCTTGCAGCCTGTGCCCCTGGGTCAGGGGCACTGCTAGCCTAGAAATGAGGGTCCTTTCACCCACTGCCACTCTCCAGACCCACCAGCTTCCACCACTCTTTCTAGTAAAACAACTCAGAGTGCAACGGAATACCTTGGTTTGGGGAAATGCTGCTGAGCAGACAGTGTGTATGTGGGGAGGGGTGGCCAGGCCCATGGGTATGTACCTCCAGCACCCCCACAGCCACCAGCCAGGCAGTGCTGGCATTTGGGCACACTGGATGCCTGCAGGACATTCCCCTAATGGGGAAGCATTAGGAAGCTGATGCTTGCAGCTGCCAGGATGACGCTGGATCTCATTCATGCAGCCTGCAGGTGCCATGGTCTGAATGCTAAGGCACACAGTGAGATGGGGTGGGTGGGGGGCATTCCAAGGAACACAGCTAGGTCAAGGGGAGGTATTTACCTGGCTGTGAGGGAATGAGAAGTGACTGGAGCTTCCCAGTGCAGGAAAGGAACGCTCTGCAGCTGGATGTGCATGTCATACAGACCCTGTGGGGAGACAAAGCCATCAGGAGAGGCCTGGGTTACGTGGAACAGGTGCAGCACATGCAGACTGCAAGTTTCCCCCACAACACACGGCTTGGGCCCCAGCATTAGGCTTTCCACACAGAGCTCCGCTCATGCCCCTCACTTCCAGCTCATAGCCCTTCCCTACTCCCTGCTAGCCGAGCCCTGGGCTCCCAACACAGCTTCTTGGCTTAAGAGACCTGGAAACAACTGAAGCCAATTACTGAATCTTTAATTTTGTTCCACTGAGTAATATGGAAGCTGGAAATGGTACCACCATTACCCACTGCCCAGATGCTTGCCACAGCCAAGCTCTGCACTGGAGGTGCACTGAGCCAGACTCAGCAGCCTGTCTATGCTCAGTGCAGCAGTACAACCCCACACTCATGTATGACCAGAAAGCAAGTTCCAGCTGCTTCACAGGGCTCCCGCCTCTTGTTACTGCCTTTTCCCCACTCTTGGGCTGACACATAGCCACTCACCTCCACAAAGAAGTCCCCAACAATTTTAGCTGTCATCAGCACCAGCATGATAGGAAAGCCATAGGTGACATTGCTTGTTGCTTCCATCATGATGACCGTCAGGCTCAGTGTCATCCTCACTATCCCACCTGAGGGGGAGAGACATGATTCCTAGTCAGGGAGGGGGCTTCAGCGAAGGAGTGGAGGAAGTGCAGGGGCACCCAGGGACCTTGTCCAGGTGGCTTGTTGTTGCCCCTCACTGCTGAGAACACATGGATACCTGCACTGAGGCTTGGAATAGAGACTGGCAGCCACTGGATGAATTAGCAGGTTCCGAAGGAACCAGATGCCTCCAGAGAGTTGAGAGGATGCCAGGACGCTGTGTCTCAGTGGTATTTACAGGCAGACTGAGACAGTGACTTGCCCAAGGTCACATGGAGAGTCTTTGGCAGAGGTACGTACTCAGCCCTCATCTCCCAATTCTCAATCAAGTGCCTGCCTAACTAGAAAGTGCCAGTCTGCCTGCCTGCCCAAACACTGCTAAGCTGGGAAGGCCTTGTTAGGACGGCAGGACACTTCTTGGCAAGGCTCAGGCAGTAGCCAGCCTGCCTACGGTCCAGCAGTCTGACAGGTCCCATCAAGAACTCCTTCAGGGCCTATGCAGACAGCTCTGCTTTTGGAGTTCATCTCTGCATGAGGAACTCTCCCACGTTTGGGGACACAGCAGCCAGTACTGATGCTGACAGACTGAAGGATATAGCGCCAGCCCACAGGGTACTCTGTTGGAGGCAATAGGAGCTGCATGTGCACACTTAAGAGGCTCCCAGCTAGTACTGGGCCAGCATGTGAGGCATTTTCAAATAGTGAATAGAGCCTTCCCTGCATCTGCAGCCTGAAGACTGCACCCACAGGCTACACAAATGGCTATATTCCAGTGAGCTCATTACAATGCCTGAGTACCAGCACCCCTAGGAATGCCCTCACATCCTACCTCTACATGCAGAGAGCAAAAGAAGAATACTCCCTTCTTGCCACTGTAATTCAGTTCCCATGCCACAACCCAAACCAGATGCAGGATGATCTGTTCATGTAAATATCGTTCTCGAATAAAACGGAGGCATTGTCTATGACAAGTCCACTGCCAAAGCCTGCCTGAATCAATCAGGAGTTTTGATTCTAGGGCTAGTTTTTCAGTCAGATTCTTCCTACTGGAGAGACACCGAGAAACAGGCGAGTATCCTAGGATGGAACAAGTCCTTTGTGTCATAAGCTTTCCTAATAGAAAGTCCAACTCACCCAGTTGTGCTGCAGCTCCCATCAGAGCGTATTTTCCAGGGTCAGCCCAGATCTGGACAGACAGAAGATACAGAAGTGAAATGGAGAGGCAGCCAGAATGAAGAGGCAGCCAGCTAGCCTGGCTGACAATGCTCATCTTGCAGAGGCCACTTACTACATGAGCCAAAACTGCAGAGTGACAAAGCCTTCTGATGACACAGCA